CCGATCAAAAATCAATCTTATCAATCAATCATGGCGACAAAGCAACGGCAGTAATAGCAGTAGCAGCAAAAATAACAATAATAACTGCATTAATAACAATAGCAAAAAGAAAAGAACTAAATTCATTTTCCAAATAATGTTAACAATACCTTTTTTTTTTTTCTCTCTCTCTCTCTTTTCTTCGTTCTGCACCAAACACCATTCACCACATATCTTTGATTTGACTTATCATTTTGAAAAACAGCAACCAACTTTCCCAGTCCTAAGATTTATTCCAGTTGGCATAGAAACAACAACATTTTGAAAGTACCAGTGGAGGAAAAAAAAATCCTATCATCATCTCCTTACACACCTGTTATCGCCAACTCTTCTCACTGCTCAACAAACAGCGCATTGTGCTATGCCTAATGCCTGATACTTATAACCAAATAACTTCGTTTACCAATCAGTAAATTAATTATTAGCTTTTTTTTTTGCATTCACTGCTTCCGCTTACGTTATTTATTTCTTCCTCCACATCAAATCAACAAAATCTTGGATTCAAGAAAACCCCAATTAAACTGCTACACTTTAACAATATCCAATAAAAATAGAATTCAAAATAAGTAAGAAAAAAAAGAAAGCAAATAAAAATTTGATTAAGAATTAAAAAATTTTGTTCAAAACACTCTAAAAATTCCTCCAAAAAAATTAACCCATTAGGCCATATAATAAATAAAAAAAAACAAAAGAACTCAAACAACTAGTTGCTTCACTTCAACTGACCTTTAAAGTGTTAAAACTGCACTTCATAACCACTAAACTTTACCATCTGCTGAAAAAGTTAAATTACTGCAAAAGAATTGGCATAAATGTAGCTGAACAGTACATAAAAATGTCATCTTTTTCCTTGCCTTTTCCTTCCCCCACCCGCTTCCGCTCCCCAACTCCATTTTACAGCAGTGAGTGAAAATCAAAAAAACAGAATCCTAGCAATCAGAGAAAATACGAGGAGAAAAGCACCAATTCAGTTGTTCCATCATCATCTTCATCATCGTCTTCTTCATCTTCACCAGCTCACCACTTTACCTTCTTGTCCGACTTTGCATTAGCCAAGAAATCCGGAATCAAAGCGGCAGTAAGGCCATTACAGAAAAAGTAGATAAATAACAGAAAAAAAAGCTGTAGATTTTCAAGCAGAAAACCGATTCCTCTCCGAACAGGTTTAGTATTCGTTGATAAAGTTAGGTAGATCAAATACCTAGAAAACAAAATTCCCATTCACTTACTGTCATCAAAGATGTACACATAAACAAATACAATGAATCATGATTAAACTTCTTCTACGATACTACTATACATAGATCCAACGAAGAAAAGAAAAAGACAGATGTATTAAAATTCAAAACTCAAAGTGGTTATAAAGTTTAGGTTTAATCAACTGTTATGTGCCGTACACACGCACAGTTTACACCGATCATACAGAATAGCAAAGTTGTGCAACTTTTGTCCTGCCTAAGAAATTAGTTCAAGTCAATGACGAACCTAGAAAAAGACAAAAAAAACAAAGATTAAAAACTAGAAAAAACATATACACAAGTATAAACACAACTTTAGCTGAAAAATATTATTTTTACAGGTTTCTTGTTCAACCATCATTACATCAAAAAATCTAACCAGGAATTGTTACTTATAGTATTTAATAATCAAACATTAATAAGTAAAATTAAAAGAAATACTGAGACACAAAGAAGACAAGTCAAATAGCAAAAGCAGACAAAGACGGTAAAGAAAAAACTGAAAAAGCTTTTAAATGCTTTTTTTTTTTTGAAGGTGAATGCATTGAAATCATTACACAAATCACGCATTATTCACCATACGTACACACATACTCAGGATACTTGTTGCTTTGTTCAGTGTCAGCTTAGTCGGTAACAACAAAAGAAGCAGCACCTATGACTGTCAACAAACGAGCAACCTGATTACATATCTGTCCACTGAATTTGATTGCTAAATATTTGCAGAAACAGTTTTGACACATACAGGCGTTCAATAAATATCAATTTATTTTAGCATTAAAACCCTTCTTATTCTTGAAACCGAAAAAAAAACATGTATACCACAAACTTGAACTACTTTAAACTTTAATACCAATTAGTCATCGTCTATCATTCCGTCTTCGTAACGTTATCATAAGCTAAGTAATTTTCGCTAAATGCCACTTTTGATATATAGACGCTACTCCTCGTCCTACTACTACTATTATAAATTCTCCAACTCACCGTTACTACTATGTACTAATGGTAGAAGTAATTTTTTCTTGGTTTAGCAGTAAAAGAGCCTTGAATCAGAAAATTAAGAAGGATGTTGGCTTGGTCTAGACCCATTTATGACAGATAAATTACAAATGGCTGTTAACGACGACACAAATGAAACCAACTGACAATAAAGTCAACGAAAAATGAGCTAATGCAGAAAAATGTAAAAAAAATGGTTAAATCTCGCTCGTTAATTTGACATTTTTTTTTTTGATAAAGACAGTTTTTTCCTTCGATATTAACCCGTGCACAATCGTTTCTTCTAAGCCATTTTAATCTGTCAACGATAAAATATTTGATTGTTTTTTTAAACTTTATTTTACTCCAATTTTTTTTGCGAAAAAAAGGTGAAAGAAATCTTATTGTTTTCAGTAATAAACGAAATATTCAGAGAATGTTCACAGATGGTAAAATTTATAAATCAATTAAGATCGAATAAGAACAAAAAAAATTATGTTAGTAATAATAACAAAAAAAACCGTTTTTAAAAAACGATTAAACTTGTCGTTTTCCCTTTCTGTATACTAAATCACTTTTGCCTAAAATCCAAAAAACTTCTCATACAAAACTGCTTTACCTTAGTCTTCTCCGTCCAACGTATCTGCTTTTACTCCAGTCCATCCCGCTAATCCTCTAACCTTTTTAACGGTGTTCAAAAACTATTTTTATCTTTAAAGTAAAAGAAAAAGTTGAAGAAGTAATAAACATCAAAAAAAAGCAGATTATCGAACAGAAAAAACGTGTGACTATAAGTGCTGAAAAAAAATGTTGACCGGTTGGTAAAATTTAGGTAAGCAAACAGGCAAGTCGGTGGTCATAAAATTGCTTGAACAAAAAAAAATCGAAGAAGAAAAAAGCAAGAAACTGGAATACAGGAAAAAAAAATTTGAGAGATTTTCCTACTCTAAGCTACGCACGCATTGTATTCGCAGATGTATTGTTGCGTTTTCCTCCTTCTTTTACCACCTTCTCCTCCTTCTATTATGCAGAAAAGTGTTAAAAATTCCCAAGTTTTAGATTTAACTGAGAAGGAAAATCGTAGACACAATAAAAGGCAAAAAATAAGAAGCACGAACAGATAGAAGAAGGAAATAAGTGTATTGAAAGAGAGCAAAAAAA